TTTACTTCTAGATATTTCATATATTTGATGATATAATGACATGTTCATTTGCGTTCTGCATCGATCAGGTGATTACTATGTCATATACAGTTATATGCAATTGATTATTGAACATTTGTCTTTTATTTTTATACAACTTCAATAATTTTGAGAAAATGTAAAGTTTAATAGAATGAACTTTTTGTCTGTAAAAGTCAGCTGGTAGAGCTGAGTCCTAGTTCAGCAGTAATCTAAGTTGCATTATTCTCAAATGTATGAAAGATTTTAAATATAAATTTTGAGAAAAAGGAAAAAAAGCTTCAGATAAAATATTGAATTTCCTCTAGGGCGAGTGGTTTGCTTTCATGTTCTGTTGAAGTGCGGGCCTTTTGATGGCTTAGCTAAATTATGGGCTTTGGAGTCAGAAAAGCCTGGAATTAAATCATTGCTTTGCCACTCTCTAGCTGTGTGACTTTAGGCGCATAACCTCTATAATTTTCATTTTCCTCAGTTGTAAAGTGGGTACAAAAATAACTACTTCACTGACTTGATGCAAATATTAAAGCTACATAATACAGTTCTGCTATGTCTGACACTGAGCCACAAACTTTCATGTCGAAGACATTTAAATTGAGAACTTAGAACCTATTTGCTACTTACTATGGTCTGAGTGTCTCTATCCCCTGAAACTTCTGTATGTTGAAATCTTAACCCCCAAGGTGAGGGTATCAGGAGGTGGGACCTTTTGGAAGGTGATTAGGTCAAGCAGGTTGTCATGGGAATTGGATTAGTGTCATGAAAAAGAGTCCACAATGTGAAGACACAGCAAAGAGGCAGCATTCTGTGAACCAAGAAATGGCTCTCACCAGAAACCAAATCTGTTGGCACTTTGATCTTGGACTTCCCAGCATCCAGAACTGTGAGAAAAAATTTCTGTTGTTTATAAGCTACAAAGTTTGTTGTATTTTGTAACAGCAGGCTGAATGACCTAAGACAGTACTTATTTCTCTTTTTGGAGGTTAGCACTAGTGAATCCTTCTCAAATCTTTTCCTTTTCTGAACAGTTTTGAGATAAAATAGGGAGGGAAAAATGCCAAAATCAAAGATTGATCAAAGAATGAGCCAAACACCAAAAGCACAAAATTAGTTTGGCATGCTTTAGAAATGCATATTCCAGGGTTCCACCCACCAATTTAGTGTGTGAAGTACAGGACCCAGAAATCTGCATTTCTAAAAAACACTTCAAATAATTCTGACACAAAGTTCAGAATCTTTAAAGGAAGACAGAAACATTCATGTAATAAAATTATTATTTCAGAAAGAAATAGAGATATTTAAATCTGTGCATTCCTTTATGAATTGTGATGGTATATAAAATCATCTTCATATCAAATTGAGGCAAATCTCTTAGGTAAAGGAAATTCATTCAAAACCTGAGAGCATGCATCTGACTTTTCATTTATGAAGTAATGTAGCATCAATCCCATGCCTCATTCACTAACATTCTGAAAAAGTTCCCATTATATATTGAAATTCAAAACAGAATCTTGGTTATCTTATGTATTTAGAAAATTTCAATAAGTGAAGCAAAATAATGCAAATATTACTGATTGCTTTAATAGATTTAATAAATAGTAATGATGGATATTTTCTCAAGTGACACTGACATTAGAAACTTATTTAAGGTACCCAGAGTGCTACTACATGATGCTTTTGCCTGCTTTATCACTGTACATACTATGTCTGTGTTTTACAAATTATTACAGTTAATACATGCTCATTAAAATATCCATATTTGCTGACATGTGCTAAAAGTCCCATGTCCCTGACTTCACAATTTCCTTTACTCTTTGTAAGACATAACTGCTAAAAATTTTCAGTGTCCCAGCAAAGTAGTTTTACTACTTTTACTATGTATTTTATAATTCTTTATGTTTTCAAAATTCAAGTAACTTATAAATCTATAAGATTAAAAGTGAAAGGTTGTTGTTTGCAGACATTCCCCTTCCATTTACCTGTCTGCTGTCACTGTCACTATGCATCTTTTCTCCCAATCCGTTTAGATGCTGGAATCATCCTAGAGACATCCATCTAAATCTATGAACTTACTTTAATTTTGAAAAAATGTAAGATCTTTTGGAGGGTTGTATTAGTCTCTCAATGGCACCCAGGAAATAGAATCAAAAGTATAAGAAGATCTGATTAGATTAGATGTCTATAGACCAGTTTCTCAACCCTGTCTGTACAGTACCCTGATTGGAGAGCTTGTGAAGACACAAGCAGACACATACACACACATGTGCATGCACACCAGTGACCAGGGTCTTAACACTGGGAGATTTAATGTGCAGTCCAAGTTTGGGAAACACTGCTCTACATCAGCCATTCTAAAGGTAAAATTGGAATAGAAGGACATCACATTTTCAGGCAGATGGTTATGATTTCCAGAGATATGCAGACCTGAGAGTAGTGCTTTAGAGATGGGGCAAAGATGAGGTTTGGGTAATAAAATGTAAAATACTATTGACTTTTTTGACAAAATTCTCAGTAAAAAATTTTGACTAATGGAACAGAATTGAACTTTCTAGAAGGATCTGGTTATTAGAGTACAAGTACCTGTGAGATTAAACAATGTTTTCCTATTTAGGTTCATGTTCTGGGAAACAGTCTCAGAATGTGCTCTGAAAAACAACAACAACAACAAAATCAACAACAAAAACAGAGGCAGGGGTGTTCTGTGGCTTAATGTTTGAGACATGTGGGATGACTATCCCCATCACAGGCCATACAGTACACATTGCACCTTAGCATGTGACATGCTCTGAGAGGCCCTGTAACTGAGAGATCTGTTGAACTTTGTTTTGTTTTGTTTTTAAGTCCAGGTTTTCTCAAATGTAAACAGCTGACAAATATTTTATAGAGAATTGCATCATTTCAAGCCAAGCAATGTTCTAGGCATTTTAGATGGAAACCATAAAGATCCCTGTTTTAGTGGAGTTTGTCTTCTAGCGAGTTAAGATGAACAAACAGACAAATAATAATCAAACAAGAGATCTCCCAAATAGTGAAAAGTATGAAGAAAATAACATAGGAAGATATGATGTGGGGGGAGCCAGGTATACTACTTTAGAAACTGTGATCAGAAAGGGCCTGGCTTAGGTGGTGATATTTTAGCCAAGGCCTGAAATGACAAGAGGAGCTGGTTGGGTAGAGATCTGGGGGAGGAAAATGCAGAGCAGAATCAACAGCTGGTGCAAAGGCCCTCAGCAGAACTGAGCTTGGTTTGTTCAAGGAAGTCCAGTGTGGTTAAAGTGTAACGGAAGGTGTTGTCAAAGACTGGATATTTGGGTAAAAAGTTTGGATTTCGTCTAAGAGGTAAAGGAAGGAGTGGGGGTGACATAGTTTAATTTATCTTTAAAAATCTTACTGGCTGCTCAGAAGGGAAGAAACTTGGGATGTGGGTGGGGTGGTGACAGGGAGCAGATGAATCAGAAAGACCAGAAAGAGACTGTGGAGGTGGTTTTGGTGAGATGATGCTTTGTTGAGCTGAGTGGTCATAGCTGAGATAAAGACAGATGCCCAGATTTTGAATTTAACTTTAATCACTGATGTGCCTATAGGATGTAAGCCTAAAAACTAGGTATATGAGGTACTGCTGGGGTGGGGGCAGAAGACAGAGAATTGGTTGAAAGAGGAATTAAATTTGATTATGAAATGCCTGTTTTTAAAAAATATAATAGAAGATATTTTGGTAAATGCTAGTTAAGGGATATTTGTGAAATAGAAGGAAAATCAGGAGGATGAACAGAATCCCTGAGCCTTGGTGTTCCTAACATATTTGTTTGCATTTGCCTTGTGCATTCTACATGAGGGTGACCTTATTTGTTGATCCAGTCATGGTAAAGGGACCTACCATGAGCTTGCATGTGTCATAGCATCATCCCTTATTTTATTCCTCCATATTCTCATTATTACAGTTAAAAAAAAGAGTAAGGGTGGGGGGAGGAAGAGGACGAGGTGGAGGAGAGGAGGAAGAGGACCAGGAGTGGGATGAAGAGGATGAGGGAGGGGAGAAAAATGAAATATAAATTAGTGAGAACAACTTCTGCTTCATGCTGACTTCTCCATATATGATGAAATCTTATAATGTGTCGTAAAATAAAAGTGGCGTTGTTGGGTGCTGTAGTATGTGGGTTTTGCAGGTGAGCTGTGTGTCATGTAGATGCATCCTCATCTTGTGGAAAGAACATAACTTCTGGTTTTATTTTATTATAGTTTTGCAAACAGCAGAGTTTTGTTTTGTTTTTCACCTTTCATTTCCTCATGTGGAATTTGACTATGCTGGCTTAGCATCATTCCCAAGGTCTCTCCAGCTTTCGAATTGTAAAATCTGTAAGTCTAATTACAGCTCTTTCTAAATTATTAGCGTTTCCAAGTTCTCTTAATTTTGAATGTGTGTGTCTGGCAGTGTGCTGATGAAGTTTAACAGTCTGTGGTCAGAGTGTATGTCTGACTTGAATGTTGGGTGATACTTTTGTTTATGTTAGTAAGATGAGAAAGGGAATTGGCTGAACTAAAATGACTGAGCTATGTCATAACTTCACTCATTCATTAAGGATGTGACAAGCTCAGGTAGTAGTTTTTCAATACCAGAAGAATATTTTCTCAATTTTTTTTTTTTTTGTGCCAGTCACAACGTTAATAGCCACAGACACGGCACACTTTTAAGTTTAATCTGTACTTTACAGTAGCAATCTTTATTGAGGGTATCATGGTCAAAACTGGTTTAGTAGGGATGGTGGAATTTAAACTACTCTTAATAAAAAGAAAAGTTTAGGCAACAGTAACTTGTGTGGATGAAGAGACATTATGACATAACCATCAGTATGATTTTTTTTAAAGAAGGTAGTACTTTTCACAGTAAAAAAGCAAATGATGCTTTGCTCATAGATATTATAGGTGATAAAGTGAAATGGATATTCTCCAGGTACATTGATTTCCTCTTTTCTTTTTTCTTCTAGGGTTTTTCTGGAAACACAAATGCAGACAGTGTGGTGCACTATAGACTCCAGCCTTCTATCAAAGCCAGACTTCTGCGCTTCATCCCTTTGGAATGGAACTCCAAGGGCAGAATTGGAATGCGAATCGAGGTGTTTGGATGCACATATAGTAAGTGTTTGTTTATCCAACAGGCTGAAATAGATATCAAAAGGAGATGTTTTAAAAGCCAAACTGCAAGCTAAAATAGATGATTTAGCTACATAAAGAGATATAAAAATAGCAATGATTTTGGAGGAAAGCTTTTTTTGTGCTCGTACACACCAATGTTGACTTCAGTGTTCAACTTTAACACTTTAATTCAGAGATGGAAGCATTTTATAGATAGAGATAGAAATAGATATATATGAGGGCACTTCTAAAAGTTCATAGAAAATAGAGTTAACAGACAATACCAATTTTTCCATGAACTTTTTGAAGTACCCTCTTATTTGTAGATATATGTGAATGCATTTTTCTAAATCTACTATTATTGACTAGATCCTACTTTCAGATATTAGAGCCTTCCCCATGGGTTACATTTGATGTCTTATTTAGGAACCCTGAATTTAATGAAATAGTGTGCCATTTAGTGTAACCACTCATCTGCTACGAAATCAAAGAATGTTTTTCTCTCTAGACTAAAAATAATATGCCATGTAATTCACTTTAAAATGTGCTGTGCCTTCAGCAGAAATTAATAGAAAACATAAAGGCCTCTGCCAGGATACAAAATGTGTTCGAAATACTTTCACATAAAAAAGATAGAAACCACAGATTTTACTTAGTCTTCTCTTAATGAAGCATTTTATTATATCTTTTGGTGGGGAAAGGACCTAAGATTTATTGATAGTTCACCTCAAGCCACACCATCCTGTTAGATGCTTTTTTATTATGGAACAAAGAGGTTTTTATTATTATTATTATTATGAATATTCATGAGATACAAAGCTAATTGTCACCCCTTGTGCCCATGATGTGAGGGCCAGATTCATACTGGCAGCATACCTATTACCACAAATTTCATTTGCACCCCTTGTCCCCCACCCAATTATCCCCAACTTCCCTCCCCCTCTCCCTTTCCCTCCCACTCCACTTTGTAGCCCAAGGAATGTTCTTTCCCTCTGTAAGACCAATGCACTACTGTGGTCTTTCTTTCTTTACTTCTTTCTCTCTTAGCTGCCACATATGAGTGAGGACATGTGGTATTTATCTCTCTGTGCTTTGCTTATTTCATTCAACATTAAGTTTCTCCAGGCTTATCCATGTTTTTGCAGATTGGAGTATTTCATTCTTTTTTATGTCAGAGTAATATTCCATGGTTTACATATACCACAGTTTCCTTATCCAGTCATCCATTGATAGACGTTTAGGTTGGTTCCATGTCTTGGCTATTGTAAACAGAGCTGTGATGAACGTGGGAGTGCGGGTATCCCATTGACATGATGATTTCCATTCCTCTGGGTATATACCCAGAAGTGGGATTGCTGGATCCTATGGAAGATCTATTTGTAGTTGTTTGAGAAATCTCCATACTCTTTTCCATAGTGGTTGTACTAATTTACATTCCCACCAACAGTGCAGTAGTGTTTCCTTCTCTCCACACCCTCACCAGCATTTGTTATTCACCATCTTTTTGATTATAGCCAGTCTAACTGGGGTGAGGTGGTTTCTCAATGTAGTTTTAATTTGCATTTCCCTGATGACTAGTGATGTTGAACATTTTTTCATGTATCTGTTGGCCATTTGTATGTCTTCCTTTGAAAAATGTCTATTCAGCTCCTTTACCCATTTTTAATTGGATTATTTGTTTTTTTACTGTATAATTGCTTGAGTTTCTTATATATTATGGATATTAATCCCTTGTTGGATGCATAGATAGCAAAAATTTTCTCCCACTTTGTGGTTGTCTTTTTGCTCTGCTGATTGTTTCCTTTGCTGTGCAGAGCTTTTTAATTTGATATAGTCCTGTTTGTTTATTTTTTCTTTTGCTGCTTGTGCTTTTGGGCTCATGTTCATAACACCTGTGCCCAGACCTAGTTGCTGAGGTTTTTCACCTATATTTTCCCTTAGTAATTTTACAATTTCAGGTCTTATACTTAAGTCTTTAATCCATTTTGAGTTGATTTTAGTGCATGATGAGAGATGCATATCCAGTTTCATTCTTCTGCATGTAGATATACAGTTTTCCCAGCACCAATTTTTGAAGAGGCAGTCTTTTCCCCAATGTAGATTTTTGTTGCCTTTGTCCAATATCAGATGGCTGTAAGCCTGAGCAGTGATTCCTGGGTTCTCAGTTCTACTCCACTGGTCTGAATGTCTGTTTTTATACCAATACCATGCTGTTTTGGTTACAATAGCTTTGTAGTATAATTTGAAGTCAGGAAGTGCTATGCCTCTGGCTTTATTTTTTTTGCTCAGGATTGCTTTGGCTATTCAGGGTCTTTTTTTTGTTCCATATGAAAGGTAGTATTGTTTTTTCCATTTCTGTGAAGAATGTCTTTGGTATTTTGATGGAGATTGCATTGAATCTGTAGATTGCTTTGGGTAGTATAGACATTTTCACAATGTTAATTCTTCCAGTCCAAGAGCATGGAGTATCTTTCCATCTTTTTGTGTCATCTTTAATTTTTTTCAGAAGGGGTTTGTAGTTCTCATTGTAGAGATCTTTCACTTCCTTGCTTAAATTGATCCCTAGGTATTTTATTTTTTTTTGTGACAATTGTAAATGGGCTTACTTTCTTTATTTCTCTTTCTGTTAATTCATTATTTGAGTATATAAATGCAACTGATTTGAGGGCATTTATTTTGTATCCTGAAACAAGTCGTTAATATGATCTACAATTATTAGATGAATAGTCTGAGACTTGGGGAGATTCAGTGAGATTTCAGTTGTGAGATTTGCCCAGCATCTCACAAGTAATACATGGAAGAATCTGGAAAAGAACCCAGGGCTCTTCAGTTTGACTACATCATTTTTCCCTTAGTAAACATTTATTTTTTAGCCACTAAAGCTTTTTTTCAACACATATTCTATTCCTTTATGATGTAAGCCAAGTTAGGTTCTGGTTCACTTTACTTACATAAAAGAAAGACATATCATAAAGAAGTTAAGTGATTTGTCTAGTTGTCTAGACTATGTCAGACAGACCATGATATATAGATTGCACAGGTCTCCTCATATATTTAGTGGTGTTTCTGGTACCCACATCCATCATCAAACATAACTGACAAAGCTGTTCCCTCTGGGACCTACAGAATGATAATATTATTAATGCCAGTAGTAATAATAGCAACAGCACTAATATTAGTATTAATAAAATTAATTTTTATATTTCTAGAAATAGCAAATTTTGCTTGAGTGCTTTTTATATGCACTATACAAAGCAATTTATGATTCCTCAAAATAGCCCGATAAGTATTACTAGATCACTACTCCATTTCCCCACTTTGCCAATGAGGAAGCTAAGACTTGGAGAGAGTGACTTGCTGCAGCCAAGTCCACCAGACTCCAGAACTCAAGGTCATGGTCATGCCCCTTCTAGCTGTGTTGAATCACAAAGATGAGCCCATGGGCTCATCTTCCCACCTTAACTGCTCAACTCGACTGCTGGCTTTCTTGGTTTCAACAATCCAGCTTAGATGCTCTAATTATGTGCTAGCTCTTCACTTCACAATGATCACACTTGAATAAAATCATTCTTTTAAAAAAAATCCCACCCCAATTAAGATTCTGGAACTTAGAACTTGGATGATCAGTCTTATTTGTCTTTGGATCATAGAGTTTAGCAAAGCTCATGACTCATGATGGATAATTAGTAAAACAAATTTCAAAATACTTCACTTTTATAGTTATATTCTCAACTTGTTCACAACATCAACCTTGCAAAATATTTATTTATCACAGCATAATAATAGCTAACAGTTATTGTTCATGTACCATGTGTCAAATATGGTCCTTTACAGACATATTCTAATTTAATCCTCAAAACCACTTATTTATTAGAGAGGAAACTGGGTCTTAGAAAAATTAAGCAATTTGCCCAATGTCACACAGTTAATACACATTCAATCTAGAATGGAAATCCAGAATTAGTTTAATGAGACTGTGAAGTTGTTTTGATGAACCTAAAGCAAAGGTACAGACTCCTTTGAGTATCTGCTGCTATGTGACTGATAACTCAAATCCCCCACCCTAATTTCTTGACCTGCTGCTCTGTGGAACATTTTTGGGGTGAGCACACTGTCCAAGTATTTAGTATCCTTTTCTCACCGACTTGTGGTTAAAGTAACATTACTGGGAGCCAACGTGATTTTAAACTTAAACACATATAGTAAGATGGTATGACAGAAGTGCATGTACAATGATGGCTGCCATACATTTAAATTATTATTAAAAAAGAAAAAGTAATCAACCTAATGGAAAAATGTTTTTATAGATAACCAGAATGGATGACGAGAAAATAACCCAAGAGTAGGCTGGGTGTGAGTAACTTATGGGAATGCATCTGATCAAATTGACTTTAATCTCTCAATTACACCATGATCACACTCACATTCTCTACCTATTCATAGCATCAGCCTTGCCAAATATTAATTTCTTAAAACATGATCTTTTATTGAATAGTTAATATGCATCAGAGACTATTCTTCATAGGCATTTTCTGATTTAGTTCTAAGAACACAGTGAAGGAGGCATGTAAGTATCATCATTTTATGCAGGACGCAGAGCAGACATGGAGAATTGTCTACCAAATGAGTCACATGGCTTGCTCTGGGTTGCCTGGCACAGAAATAGCTGGAACACTGGCTTTCCCCACCCTCAGAAGGAAGGGCTGCAGGTGCTACAAGCACGAACATCCAGCAGCAGGATTTTATCTGCAACTCCCCTGAGTAACATGGATCCAAGATCAGGATGGATTTTCTCCAGATACAAAAGGCCAGGGCTGGCTCAGTTGGTTAGAGCATGGTGTTATAACAGCAAGGTCAAAGGTTTGATCCCAGGACCAGCCAGCCACAAAAAAAAAAAAAAAAAAAAAAAAAAAAGAAGAAGAAGAAGAAAAGGAAGGAAAAGAAAAGGCCATTCTCCTGTAATCTCTACAAAAAGGAAAAGTAATACTGATCGGGGGTGA